ATCCGGCCCCACATTCAAAAAGGTTGGACACCCCTGCCTTAGATGTCTTCTAGGCATTTCAACTATTAGAAATACAGGGCCTCACACCTGGTCTTTGGTTGCATTCAAACTTGTCCAAAGTAGGAAGTGAAGGGGTGGGTGGAAAGGAGAGGATGGAGGAATGAATGTGCATAATACTACAAGGTCAGACTTCTTCACTCACCTCCCATCAGGGGTAGCCTTTTAAGCCTGCTTTGGATGGTGTATAAATGACTACAGAAGTGAAAGTGAGAAATTTAATCTAGAAAGTTAAACAGGATCATCTAGCTGCACTGAAAAGGTTGTGTCAGGTGCCCAAAGTAAACAAATAGCATCAGTAGTAAATAGACAATTGAATGCTAAGCTACTTCCAGTTTCATTGTCCCTAGATGTTAGTACCAGTGGAGTAATCATGGTTTTAATATGTTTGTTCTGACAGTGTCCCTTTAATAACACAACTGGCTTGGGACTACGATTTGCTTATGTCATGTGGTAAATGTGGCTGCCTCGGACTCTCTCCCTAGTGCCTTTTTTTCTTTTATAGCAACATAATTTTTACATCTCACCAGAAATAAAATAATTCTTCAGGGTCAAGCAGGGGGTGTAAGCTCTGCCAGTTCTAGTCCTGGCTGAAATGGGATTCTCAGATGAATATTAAAACACATTGCATTGAAACCACTGCGTACTGACAAAGATGTGCAGTTAGGAAATGAGTTTGTGTCCTGGTATTAACACCAGAGTGAAGATTGCTAACTTAAATGGACAGCAGCACAATATGACTTGGCATACAGCAATATGGCAAGACTCCAGAAGGCAAGAGGCTAGAAACGGACTAGACGTGCAGAATCCACTTCCAGATTTGCACTCACTCAGCAATCAGCAGTACCTGGCCATGGTTCTCTGCTAAGTACCCCAGTGGATGGGACTCAGGATTTTATTTTTAATATAGCCAGTCTTTCAAGACTGAGAAATCAAAATATTCTTCATGACATATGTTAAAAGTGGAGGAAAACTGTCCAGACCTGCAGAGGAATTAATGCTGAGGTCCTCTTCTTAATGTGCTCTAGGGTAAGCTCACTACTATTGCCCACATAATTTCCTGGGGAAATTGGGCCTAAATTAATTCTTTAATGGAGGGTGCCAAAGGTCAGATGACAGAGGCCAAGAACCTTCTTGTAAGGAAATCGGAGACCATACATATTCTTCTTCCATAGCTGTTAACAAAACAAAACGGCACTTCTCACAGCACATGAGCAGGCTGAAGTAGGTCAGCAGCACTTGGGTCCCCCTTCTCTGTGGAGGAGGTTTTCTGAAGGTCAGACAGTATTCGTGTTTGTGCAGCAGCTCTTTGCGGAGAAGTGTCAGGTGAGAATTGCCTGAGGATCCTTGATAAACTGCTGGGAAGGCATGATGGTCCTGGCAGCAGCTGCTGTAGTTATAACAAGTACTTATCACAAAGCAGTAGCCCCTGGCCTTTCAAACAAGCTGCTCATGGGAGAAACTCTACTCAGGGCTTTGTTACACAGTAAATTTAGGCAGCTTCTGGAGCTCTTAGCTGCTTGCCTGGCTGCACATTAACACCTTTTAAGTAGCTTAAAGTACTCATTATTCACCTTAGAGTTACACTACTTCAGGGCAAGATTATCTCCAATCCACCTAATTTTGTTCCTGTTTCATTATCATGCGGCCACTTCCCAAAAATGTTCTGCCCAAATCAAATTTGTCCAGCATCCCAGGAGGCACAGTGGGGCCACACACAGCTCCTCACCTCCTGCAGACATCAGGCAGAGGCAGTCCCAGAGTGGGGCCACAGTGCCACCCACCTCCACTTGGGCCAGCTCTGCTCCTGCCAGCAGCTCCAGGGATGAGCTCTGGAGAAACAAGAATTGGGCCCCTTCGAGCTCAGCCAGGGACCTGGCCAGCAGCAGTGCAGGGGGGCCGAGCTGCTGGCCAGCTGGGCACTGCCTGAGCTCTAAGGGGCCCAATCCTTTTTTTCCCATAGTCCACCCCCCACATCAGGCAGGGAGGGGAACCTGCCCCCCATCCTTCCTCACAAAAGTGCAGCAAGCCGGGGATACCTTGCATGGCCATGGTGCAGCCCTGGTCTACCAGGAAGCATCAAGCACAGAGGGAATTACCCCTCCACCCCCTGCTTGCTGCTGCCCGGGAGACCTGGGCAGGGTACCCGCATCTCCCTGAACATGTGGGGGGAAGGACTGGCTTCCTGCTTTCACCAGGCACAGCGAGTGACTCCAGACCTGCAGCAAGCATGGGGTGGGGGGAAGGAGAGGAGAAAATCCCCTCCACCTGTGCATGGAGCCAGGGACACCCTGCCCAGCTGGAGCAGTGCCCCAGTCTCCTGGAGGGGAATCTAAAAAGCTCCTTATTTTTAGAATCCCCTCCCCACTTTTAATTCCCCCCATACATTCAGGGAGCCAGGCAGCTTGCTGCTCTCCAGGAATGTGGAGCCACTGTGCCACAGTTGCAGCCAGACCTCAGAGACCTGGGGAAGCAGCTTCTCTGGGGCTCTCTGGTCTCGCTGAAATTAACAGTGGCTCCGAAACTGAGAGCAAGGCAGTTGGGCTTAAGCCCTAGCAGCCATGCTCTCAGTGTGGAGCTACCCAACTTGATGAGACCAGAAAGCCCAAAGAAGCAACCCTGCTCTCAGTGCGGAGCTGCTCTGGCAGTTTCAGCGAGATAAGAGAGCCCCAGGGAAACTGCTTCCCCAGGTCTCTCTGGTCTCACTGCAACTGACAGTGGTGACCCCTGCTCTGCCCTGCAGGAGCAGTGTCCTGCTCCTAGTCCTGCCCCTGCTCACCAAGCCTCTAGTGGCAAGTCACAGCTGTGCAGGTGAAGGGCAGTCAGAGCAGGTTTTTCGCCTTACTGTGTGACTGCTCTATTAAGCCCAACAACAGGAAGCCAATTAACATTTATCTGGCTTACAGAGTAAGGTCTAATAAGGGCCACAGCAGGGTTCATTGCCAGAACTGAATGTTCCTTTAGTAATGCCACCTGCAAGGATGCACCCTTGCTAGCCCTCAGCACAGTATGGGCAAGCTCAGTGAGATCACCGTCCCTGTAACTAGGCTGCCTCTACCCCAGGGGGAGGCTAAATTTGGCTTGCGGGCCAAATCCAGCCTGCCAGGCCAATCTATCTGGCTTGCAGGGCCCCTAAAAAATTTAGAAAATTAATATTTATCTGCCCCTGGCTGCCTGTCAAAGATGACAGGAGCCAGGGGCAGTAGGACCCAGGGGGAGCCAGCAGCAGAACTGAACAGCTGCAGCAGCAAATCTGGCCCACAGCTGGGACATGGTGCTGGAGCGGCCACAGGTGGAAGGAAGCGACAGGAGAAGGGCAGCAATGGCAGACAGGGGGCAAGTGCCAGTGCCCTGGGGCTAGGAGTGGCAGGAGCAGAGTCCGGGCTTGCAGGACATGCTGGCGGGGGCTCTACCTGCCGCGGGAGGGAGGGGGCAGGCTGTGGACAAACCCGCCCCCTCCACGCAAGCCACAACCCTCTGCAGGCACCCTCCCCCCCACACACTCACAGCCCCCCACAAAACCCATACCCACCCACCTATTCACCTTCCCCACAAATCCCCCCATACCCTACAAACCTATATACACCCTTCCACCTACACCCCCACACAATATACAAGAGTAAGACTTCATTTCAAGCTATTATATTATCACCACTATGTACACTACACAAACACATGTAAAAATAAAATATTTTTTGAAATTAATGAATGTTGTAGTACATGTTTGATTTTTAGAATATAAGTTGGTATTTTTCTGGTTCAGAAATGGCAAAACCCCTTGCTGAAAGGAGTAATTCCAGGGGACAAAGGGAGGGACTTCTGGTGGCAAAAGTCAGGGATTGGGGGTGGGACTTCTGGTCCCAAGATGGCAACCAGGAGGAGGGGCACCTGTCAAGGAGCAGGGCTACCCATGCAGCCCTAAAACTCAGTAATCAGCCCTCCACCTGAAATAACTGCCCACCTCTTCTCTATCCACATTTTGTGGGTGCCCAGAACATAGTCAGCCGGTGGCTCATGGAGTCCAGAGTTCTCTGACTCAGTCTGCAGCATGGCCCCCAGAGACTTCACATCCGCCATACCATACTCCATCTTGTTCTTTGTGGAATATGGCAGGGTCTCTGTCTGGAAAGTGAGGGTGGTTACCACCAACTCTATATGGCACAAGTTAGGCACACTCTTATGACCATGGCAGGTTGGTGAAATCACTCTCAGACCAATGCTGGGCACATAAGTCTCCTGGCAAGTTTGGTCCTTTATTGACTTATACTTCTAGTCATTTCCACTTGTGCTAAACGCATAAGAAATCCTAGTGATGCTATGAGGCAGTTTTGCTTTGGCATTTCACACTGACTGAGAGCTGCAATAAATAACTCCCAAAAGGGTAGTGTAAGGGATAATCAGTCCATGCCCCGCCTTGTAGCCCCACTTCATCTCACAAAAGAACAATGATAATGACACAAATACCTGAAAATAATAATGTCCTCAAATGCACCTGAATTTCTAAGGGGCAACTGCTGACCGCACTCATATGGACAAGCTGAGATGAATTACTAGGTTGGATTGTAGAAATACCACTGCTCGTTGCAATTAAAAAATGCAAAGCAAACTGCTTTTATTTCTGAAGGTACATACATAAAATATAAACATATTTCTTCCTGTAAATGAGCAGAGAGGGACAGAATGCCAAAACTAAATGAAAAGCTTCATGTTCTTAGGGGGACAGAGTCTCTGGAGTGGAGACTGGAGTTTTGCAATGCTTGAAATTTAATGCTGTATTTCTACTTAACAAAAACATTCTCTAGCAGATCCATAAATTATACCAGTGGGGCACATAACTCAATAGTTTTGTAAAACAGAGGGATTTTCCTTGAGAATGTGAACCAAGTGCCTAATACCAGTGAAGGCAGAAGATGCCTCTTTATTTACCACAAAGCATTTGTATCTGGCTTTGTGGTAACTCTGAACAGTAGCCTTACCATGGATATGCAAACTACCTGAACAACATAACAACCGTCCCTGCATGTTGCCAATATATTTCATACCTGGTGCTCTACATGCCTTTCAGCATGGAAAGCCAATGGGCATCTCTGCCCAGTACCTTGATTTGCTGCCAGATGTAATCTGTTTTTCAGACCACAGACTCACAAGTACATTATGTCTAGCAGCTGAGTGCTTTAAAAGGGAACCCGGCTCCTAGTGGAAGCATCAGAAATCTGAGATAAAGGAATGATTTAAAATTTCTCTCAAAAGTTCATTAGACCTGCTGCAGAATTTAATTGGCAAGGGTAGAATCACTAGGGAAGCAGTGTTACAGTCCGGATCTGTGTCATGAAACAGTGACAAGTGGCATTTTCAAGGCTGAAAATTAGAAATGACATTCAGCTCTTTGCCTCCCCCACGCCCACCCCAAGATTTGTAATGTGCTTGGATCAAAGAGCTCTATTTCTTTGCCTTCTTCCCTGCAGCATTATCTCTTCATAGGAGGTATACAAATCACACCGTCCAGCTCATCCACAATCTCAGTCAGCTTATGCCTGCACTCTTCCTGCAGTTGCTTTAGCTCTTTCTCCAGCCTGGCCTCTCTCATTCTCAGTTCATTGACCAATTCACTGGCACTAACATTCATAAGTGCCTCCTTGGCTCTGGATCTGCTAAAACCCATTTTGCTTGCAGGATGTTTGTCCTTAAATACCAGTCTGCATGGGCCATGCATTTTATTCTTTTTATGGGCACACTGGTATTTAAATTCTGATAGTTTAAGCTCCACAGCTTCATGTATTTTTCTGATGGCTTCAGAGAACTCCTTCTCATCCAGTAGCTCACTCTCTCTTGCTTTGATCTGTTGAGAGAAAATCATGGTTAGGGCTTGCATGCAGAATTCCTCCCACCACAACACAATGCAAAATGTCAAAGCTAAAAGAGGTTTTACTAGAAATCAGGTAAAAATCAGTGATCTGCTTTATGCATTAAAAACTTCTTTGCTTTTTAGGAGGAAGGAGTAAGAGGTCATCAAAAGGCCTCTTCTTTGATTTGATGCTGGGCATATGGCAGCTTTGGGCTCCGCTGCCTGTAGTTGTGGCAAATTGTGGGAGGTTAAACTAGAGGCTGGGTGTGAAAGTGTGCAAGGCTGGATTCTCCATTCACTTTTGAATGCAGTGTGTCTAAGACACTGCTATTCTGATATAATAGTGTGCAACATCACCTCACAGGAGAATAATTGACTGCACAAGGGGCAGGTATGTAGCTACACCTGGTATGAGAAAGAGACCAAATCAAAGAAAGACTCTCTAAGGATTTAACACAGGCAGACAGCAAACTGTCTGAGAAATGCTGTGTTGGGATCACACCACCCTTTGCCAACAACCAGAGCAACGTACTAACAGCCTCAGGCCCTAGCCTCACACTCACACACAAATAAGTATCTTCATTCCCTGAAGTGGAGTTACTTGTGTGAACAGTTAATCAAAAGTACGTTTGCAGGAATGGGGCCCCACAATAGTAGCATCAAATGTACAGGTGCCAAGAGGTAAGCAGAAATTAGACATCATGATGGGCAGATGGCCATTGCTGCATGTTATCAGCATGCTTAGCACTTTGGTGTTCATATACCAGAAGTCAAACTGGATAGTCCTACTTTGCTCTTGCATAGCATTTTTTATGAATGCTTCATAAAGCACATTACAGAGTAAGTCAGTATCACTATACCCATTTCACAGACAAAGACATCAAGGCACAGAGAAGCAAAGGGACTCACGTAAAGTTACTCAGCAGGCTAGTGGCAGACCCAGGAACAAAACCCAGACGTCCTGACTTCCCATACACTAAGCCACACGCCTCTGTTAATACACTACAAGTAAATACCATCACCCATCTACTAAATGGGAGTAAATTTCAGATGCTTGTATTTCTATTCTCCACTGGAACATAGCCCCCAAATCACTGCCAAGTTTCCTAGGAAGTAATGCTGCCCAGGAACTCTTGATAGTGTGATGAAGAGAGACAGCATGGCCCCCAGCATCACAAAATTAAATTGCCACCACATTTCTTCAAAGACCATGTACTCCTGTCACATCCAGAAAAAGAATATGTGCATAGTGCAACAGCCATGTACCGATATCCTTTACAAGGAATGACACCTCTTGGTATCAGTGATGAATCTGTACCATGCTTGGTCCATTTGGCATAGATTTTAAAGGTATACATTTTGTAACAGGTATGAAGAGCAGTTAGGAGACTATGGCTCTCCAGGTTCAGGAAACTATACTAGTACTTATGTTTAGAAGAATAAATCAAAAGAGCCTGAAGGATTCTGTGAAGGATTTGCTAAAACTGGGAGCTAATAGAAGTGTTCAAAATAAGAGATTGGCCATGGTTTTCTTCTTGCTCTTACATCACTTGTCATTTAGCACAATGCATATGATTTTGCTGTTGAACTTTGTGCCTTCACAAGAGAAGGAACGTTCAGTCCATGAGTGGGCAAAGACAAGCACAACCCTCATTTGATGCAAATATTAACTCTGCCCTTTAAGCAAAGAAAAAAAAATCCACAAAACTTTTTATAGTACTTGCCCTCTTGAAACCAGGATTTTTTTTTCTCTACAACCAATGCCTACCAGTCTCACTCAAACTCTAGGGCACAATTATACAGACATTCTTTAGTTCCTGCTAACTTGTGGTAGATTATCATACACTGTACTTAGAAGAATTGGGATGACTCCTATTTTAAACTGAACCTGAAGATGTGTTGGCACCTTCCTTCTCATCAGGCTAGAAATCATCACATTGTCATAGTAACTTATTTAATTGATTTCCAGTTAGTTTTGTTGCTGTGGTTTGCAAATTTATCTTTTCTGCTAAAAAGTGGGGAGGAAAGCAGATGATTTAGTTCTCATTACAGGAAAAATAATGAAACAAGGTTATCAACAAAGAATTAGAAGCTATAAATAAAATGAAAGCCTGCCAGCACAGTTTCATGGAACGTAGATGTTGTCAAACAAATCCACTTCCTTTTTTATTTGACAAGGTCCAGCTGACAAAAACCATAGTGTTGATGTGTTATACTTGCATTTCTCACAAATATGTGACTTGGTAATATGACATTTTGAGTAATAAATAAACAAACCACAAACCTTGTACCTATATGGAATTAGCAGAACACGCTTTGGGTGCATTAAAAACTGGCTCATTGTCAGATCTCAAAACATAGCTGTTCTTCGGGTGGTACCAATGAGTAAGGCCTGTTTCCAGCAGACCTCCTTCCCCCACGGAACTGGTTCTTGGTGCAACACTAATAATTTTAACAATGTTCGATACAAAGACCTAAAATCTCTGCTGGTAAAATTTCATGATGAAACAAAGATAGCAGCAGGCAGAAAATAATGAGGATAGGTAACTATCAGAGAGGGATCTGCATCCCCTAGTTTGATGGTCACAGTCCAACCACAATCTAGATTTATTAAATAGGCATAAGCTCTTACCTAGTGAAAAAGGAACAAACGCATCTTTCTTGATAAACTGCCCATTGCTGTCCAAAAACCTCTCAGGATAAAACACTTCTGGGTTAGTCCAATATTTTTCATCAAAGTGCACGGAATAGAGGTTTGTAATTACTGTAGTGTCTTGAGGAATAGAATAACCACGC